AGTGAAGCAAGGGAGGTTGGCTGTTACAACATGATTGAATAAACCATTAGAAAATTTTAGAAATGAAATTAGAGTACTGGATCCAAGGTTCTGATTATAGGAACAGTAGGGGAAAATAAAGAGCAAAGTGAGATTTATGAGTTATTAAATAAATTTAAAGTGAAAACATCATATTCAAATTAAGTGTTTCACCACAAAAGATACCATAGGAAACTGGTTGCCAGAATCTTCTGGGACCTATCTCTAGACACCTGACCTAATGATTTCTCCCCCATACCCAATCCACACTTGAAATTACCACCTGTGGAAAAGTATCTCTGGCTTTCCAGTTAGAGACTACTCTGCTTCTGCTTAGGATCATGACTCAGAATGCCCTTGGAGAAGTCTTGACCTCCCTGAACCTGGTTTGCTTTTGAGCACTCTGCATGGATAATGAGGGGCACAACCAACCAAAAGGATGGTCAAATAGTCAAGAGCCTTGGCATTCCTACATCAGTTCGGAGTTATTCAGCAGAGTGGAAAGGTGGATCCCATCCCAGCAGAGCAGATAGCCAGAGCCACTTGACACAAAGCCAAAGCAACTGTCACCCAAAGCACACTGAATATCTGCATCTCTTACTTTTTCAAGTTTCTCTTTTTAATCAATTTCATAGTGTTTAGGGTCTTTAACAATTTTAGGCAGAATCTCCAATTTTCATATTATAAACTCTCAGTTCCTAACAAAATGTGAACAAAACAATCTCCAGAGTGAAAAGCCTTTGATTCATGATGAGATGTCCATGGGTATCATTAGATTTGTGACAAAGAACTGGCATTCATTCTATAACAATCATTATGCAAAAGAATACTTTCAAATATGCAATTCAAAAGGGAAGAAAACTTATTTTTTGCACACCCATTTCTTATTTCAAGGGGCAAACATTAATGTAACTCAAAATTCTAATGTTTCCTATAAGGAACAAGAGAATAAAAGGTTGTCTATTTCATTAATCCTAAATTTTCTAAATCCTAGATTCTGAATTTCATACATAAGAAAACTTGATGAGCATAAAAAGGTTAGAAATTTGTGTCTAAAAGTACATAGCAAATTTGGCCAATCATATTAAAATTAAAAGCATAATTCCAATACTTTCAGATTAAGAATGTACTAGTCAACATCCATGTTTAGCCTTTCAGTAAAGTAAATCAACATCCAATCTGCTTTCAATAGAGAAGAGAATTAAGGGGGGACTATGCCTCTCTCAGGCCAACCACTAAATATAATGGAGATGGAGGAGGAGGAGAAGGATGAGGAGGAGCAGAAGGAGGAGGAGGAGCAGGAGGAGGAGCAGGAGGAGGAGGAAGCATCTCTATGGACATTTCTAAGCATAAATCTACAATTGGGTTAAGGATTGAGATTCACATTATGTATGTAGCTTGGAAAATCCCAAACTAAAATAAAGTCTAAAGTAGTTGTGGCCTTAGTTTTGGCCCCCTTCCTCCCCTCATGTGTGTGGATGGATGGATGGAGAAGTAGACTGATATATACATGTAGGCAGATTGATACACATAGTTATATTTATGACAAATATATATCAATTCTAAACCCTACCAAGTGTCTGAATCCGATGACCATTTAAAGTAAGGCCAAAGACAAAAGAGCATGCTAAATAACACCACCAATTTAGTTTGTGACAAATTTGCAGTAGAAATGTATAATATTTTATTTTCTAAAAATGGCAGAAAACACCTCCCATCTCGTGTGTGTGTGTGCGTGTGTGTGTGTGTGTGTGTCTGTGTTTTAATGTGGCTGTGGCATTCCCCAATACAGAGGGGGTTCTTTCCACACCCCCTTGATGAGTGACTATGACTTCTTTGACCAACTGATTATGGTCAAGTCAGAAGCAAAGCTATGACAGTCACAGGTATAACTGTGAAATCTCCTGGCATCTTCTACTTCTTAGTTCATGGAAATCAGCTACATGGAAAAGTGAAATAACAGCATGGTGTGAGATGCTCCAGCCTCATAGAAAGGTCCTGGAAGATGAAATGCTAAGTGGTGGGGTGACATTGAGTAAGAAACACAGATATATCACATGTACGTGTATGTGATGAGCATGCATGCATGGAGAGAGACAATGAAAAGGCAGACAACTCAAGGAATAGCAACATGTTGAACATGAGTCATGTGAGAATGAAGACACAATCCTGGACACTCAGCCCAACTGAGATTTTTGATGACATCATCATACTATTTGACTGCAACTGGAAGAGGGAACTCAAGCAAAAAATGTACAAGCCTAGAGAGATAGCTCAGTGGTTAAGAATACTGGCTGCTTTTCCAGAGGACTGGGTTTGGTTCCCAGCACCCACATGGTAGCTAACAACCATCCATAACTCCAGTTCCAATTCCTTGTTCTGACCTCTCTGGGCATTGCATGACACAGGTGCACTTACACACATGCTGGCAATACACTCATACACATAAAATAAAAAATATTTCTTTAAAAAACTATTCATCATGTGCAGTAGACATAAAATTGTTTTAATGTAAGTTTCCAACTCAAATCAACCTTTGTTTTAGAACTAAAAAGCAGTATCTTACTTTGGTATTGTTAGAGTAGCAAAAAGTCCCGTATGATTATCTGGTCAAAAAATGAAACCTCCAGTCTCCTTGTGGGAAACCCAGTTTCACTGGTCAATCACCAATCACAGGACCACCCAAGGAAGTGGGTTCACCTTAAGGCATGCTATATAGATGGACAGAATACCTAGTGGGTTAATGAGATACTGAACATTTCCCTGCCTGGAATCCTACCTCCTAGTGCAGTGCTTCTCCACCAGCCACAGACATGTAAGTCTGTAAGTCTTCCCACTTTTCTGAATTTTTCAGAAAATCATAATCTTGCTTTTTCTTCTTCATATCCCTTTTCTAAACATGCTTTCTTCAATGCTTTGGGCTACCCCAACACCTTATATTTCTTTTCTTTTTCTGTAAAGCTGCCTTCTCCCTGCTTTGTGACTGCCAGTCTGCCACTTATCTGACCTCCATGCTCTAAAGCTGCATGGTTTCATGGATTTTTCCTTCTCCCCTCCATTCCCTTCCTCAAGGCAGCTGCTGAGATTTCCGGGTTGCCTGCCCTGAGGATTTTCTTTAAATTCTAATAAAACTGTCCTAAAGCTTCCATTTGAGTTCATTCTTAAATTCTTTTATGGACGATACTAAGACCCTCTAGGGGACGCTGTTTCTCCCCTGTATCAGTATCTATGATTCCATCATGGTTTTTGTTCTTTGGCTAAGTTCTGTTTCCTAATTTCTAACATTAATTCGAAGTATACACTACTAAGTCTCAGGCTTTTGTAAATTTTCTTCTACTGAAATTTGAGCAATTCTTCTTTCTACCCTTCCACCAAACTGAATATGCCAGGGAACCACAGAACCTCCTGTCACTATTTCCCTTGGCTTCAGTAACTCATGACCTTCTGCCTGACCACCCTCCATGCCAAAGATGTCAAGAACCATGAAGATGAGATTTTCAGCACCCTAGATTCCAGTACCCCCACCTTCGCAGCATGCTTCAGGAACTAGGCACATGCTGTGTGCAGTTCATCCCTCTCAGGTTTCTCTCCCTAGAAACCTTCAAAATTGAAACACCTCTAATGAAAGCTTTTATTTTTCTTCTTCTCCCAGCGTTATTAATTATAGGATTTACATTTCTCACCTTCATCCATGGCTCTAACTAGTTTATCATCTCTCTTATCCCTCTGCCTTGTGCGTTTCTACAATAAATTTCTTATTTTCCCTGGCTTTTTCCTTCTGCTATTCCTCTGCTGAGTTCCATTCTGGGTAATTTACTCTCCTGTTTTTGGGTGACTGATTCTAATGTATTTTTATGCTGCACTTATATGGTGATTATGAAAAGCTAGTGAGTTAATATATAATATAATGCTCTTAGAATATGACCTGATTCATGGTAAGTGTCCAATAAATTGTAGCACTTTACAGTTATTGTTCATATTTCACCCCATAAATGGTATTTTTGAAACCTTCTGTGACCTAAAAAAAATCACTATATATGGGGAGAAATGATATAAAGCAAGAACAATTTAGCTCTCTTGAAAGATATTCCATGACACTAAACCATTTTCTTTAGGTTCATGAAAAGGTTAATAAAACAATTTTTTGAAAAACAAATTAAAAACTTTATTCATACTTTATGATCTATAATATCATACGACAAATATTTTAAGGAAAAAAAGGATAAGTGTTTACCAACAGCTTATGACTCAATTACCTGAATACTCTTTAATAATAAACCTTTAGTAATTCCCAATACAAAGAAATGATGGAAATGCAAATTACTCTGATTTGATCATTATATATTGTATATATATCAAATTACCACATTAAATTCTATAGATTGATGCAGAGAGAGAGAGAGAGAGAGAGAGAGAGAGAGAGAGAGAGAGAGAATTGAACCCAGGTTTTCATACATGCTAGAGAAGCACTTTACCTCTGAGCTAATGACCTCGAGAGAGAGAGAGAGAGAGAATTGAACCCAGGTTTTCATACATGCTAGAGAAGCACTTTACCTCTGAGCTAATGACCTCACGGCCTCTAAAGAGTTTTTTGAAAGAAAAACACAAGAATAAATTTGAGTGAATTTAACAGAGAGCAAGTGCTCTACAAGTGTCAAGTCTTTGACAGTCATGTCTTCATGAAGGACTGTTGCCACATTAAAATCACAATAGTATGATGCTGCTTATATATACTCTTTGGTAGTGGAAAATTCTACCGTATTTCCATGGAAATAACAACTTGAAACAGTTTTCTCACATTTAAGTGATATAATATCCCAAGATATGCTGAAGATTGTGTCAACATAGGTGATCTTATGACTTTATAATATACTATAACTCCCAATAAAGTTCTCTTGATTTTTAATCTATAGGTTCAATCAAGCAGTAAAAAGACCTGATAATAAAAGCAGGAAGCGATAAGCATTTTTACAGACACTTACCTTCAGTTTATGTTCTTTCCTATTTACAATCACTGCTGTGATTTGCTGGTCCATGAAAATCAGGATGGTGACCAGCAGGGCTGGGATAGCAGCAGCAAGGTACACCCACCAGGGGTTCCCTCCGAACGGCGGGACGAACCAACCCCGGTTAGGACTTGTTGGCTTCAAGCAGAGAGAGAATATTTTTCAGAACAGTATTAAGTTAATATAGGCTAACTGGTAAAAAAATGGCAAGATGTATTATATGAAATGCAAAAAATTCAACAATTTTTTAAAAGCTGGGTGGTACATACTTCAACTTTTATAAAAGCCAACATATTAAAAAAAGAAACAATTATGAACTGGAGAAAATGATTATTTACCACAATTCTTCCCTAGGGATACTACTTTGAATTAATATCTAAAGGGAAAGGAAAGGGACATGGGCTGTTGGAAAGGCAGAGAATGACATTTTGAACATATGAAATGATTTGAGATAAGGTGTCAAATAAAAAAAATTCAAATTAAGGGACAGAAAGAACCCAAATGTAATATTCTATTAAGAGATAGCAGGAAACTATAAAGCCACTATGGACTTCATGAGTTTTAGCATTAAACAGAAGGTGTTTCTACTACTGCCAAATTAAATGGCTTCAAGGCATAAAGAACTTGTATATGCTATAACTGAACTAATTTAAACATTCTGCTCTCTTAGTTTACATGTGAACAATTATCCAAGAGAACTGATTAAATCCCCAGAAATATTCCAGAAAATGAGAAGCATTTCCCCACTTTCCAGAAGATCATATATATTTATCACAGAAAGAAATTTTTCTATGCTATTCTTTATTTTAAGAAAAGTAAATAAAATATGTTCTATGAATTTGTTTCTCCAGATTTTGCTTTTGTTTTTAAGACAGGGTCTTAGTCTATAGTCTAACCTGGCCTTGAATTTGTACAATTCCCCTGTCTCAGCCTATTGAGTACTGGGCTTACAGCCATGAGCCAGGAAACCTGGATGAGGTTCTTATCTATGAAGAAGCTCTCATTCTTCTCTGAGGATGTTTGTGTGTTCACGCTTAGCTTGTTCATCACTCCATTATGGAGACAGAAGCCATCTGCATTATGTGAACCACTTGTGACCTTAGAAGGCAAGGTACTTCATCTTGCTCATTAACACATTAAATCCCCAAGATAGAGTCTGGATCTTATGAAACATTAGTAAATACTGATTTACATAAATGAATGATAGAATTAATTAGAAGTTTTCTTTGCTAATGAATATATGAGAGTAGAGAATATCAAAAAATATTCTTTGCTGTCATGTATGTGTATGTGCATGCATATCCCTTCCTTATTAAACATTTATTACAAAAACTGCAATCAGCTAAAGGATGCTTAGAATCATTATTATCTCAATAGTAGAAAGAAGGGCATAAGAACTCTTCCAGAAAACAGGTGAAAGATTTGAAAAAAATTACCTATAATTATAAATGACTGAAATATACTTTATACATTATACATGAATATGCAATAGGTCCAGAACATGCATAATTCTTCTTTCACCTTGTATGTAAGTATGCCTGGCAGGTTGTTTGGTTGGAGGAAAAGACCACTGAGTTGGAGGCTTGAGTTCCAACTTCACTACCTGTAACTACTAGTTAAGAGGTTATGGGCATTTTGCTTTGTGTTTGTGAGTTTAAATGTCAGGCTTATAGAACAGGGATGTCGCTACTTGTGCTGCAGACTTCTCAGAATTGTTATATGAACTGAGGTAATTAGGTATATAGAAGTACTTGAAATTATGCTAAAAAATAAGAAATTATAACATACATTATTTAAAATTTAATAGTTTCTGATATTAGCATTGAATTTTGATAAAGAAATTAAACTGTCTAAGTGAGCCAAACAAGGGATTGCTCTGGGGGAAAAAATTGGTGGTTGTACAAAATCAACTGAAACAGACCCACAACAAGCTACAATAGAGGAATAGAAAGTAAGTCAAAGAGTCTGAGGGAAAACCAAAGGATAGGAATTGACTTACCTTGAACTCACTTGGCACAATTAGCTTTGGGGTATCGACACCTACCAGGGCATCTATCACACAAAACATGAGAATGGACAAGATAATGGCAAAATCGCTGATCAGTTTTCTTGCCTGGAAAAATAAACAAGAAACAATGGACAGTTTTGTACCAGATACATATGTTTGCTTGTGTTTGAAACAGTTTTCTGTATTTTCTAGCAATTTACAACTATTCCATAAAAAAATTATCATCTGGTCAGACATAATCTAGTCCCATAGAACAGGGTGGGGTCGGTCGGTCGGTCTCTGTCTCTGTCTCTGTCTCTCTCTCTCTCCCCCCTCCCCCTCCCCCTCCCCCTTCCTCTCCCCCTCTTCATCTCTCTGTCTCTCTCTTCATCTCTCTACCTCTGACTAAGCAGGGGCAATCACTCAAATAGGATGCATCCCAAAATTAGTGCATAAGCCCCTGTCCTATGTGCAGTATGAAAGCCACTTGGGTAAGAATGAAATCTAAACACAGAACAGAATAGAATTCAGTTTATTTGCAAGGCAGCACTATAATAAATAAAATAATGCAAATCGCACAAGTTGGCCTGAGAATACCATAAATCTAACAAGAAAAGAATTCCAAGTTCCAGTCCATGAGTAAGTTGATTATCAAGACCCATAGTCAAGTCCAGCAATGGGAGATGGAAACATGAGCTTTGTCTAAATATCCCACATTCAGACTAGCGCTGGAAGTCTGCTTGATGCGGGGCAGCTCTTCACCACCTAAGTGTGATAATTATTATCTGGTTATCCAAAGCCCTAAATGCCTGCCTCTGTTCAGGAGAACATCTTCACATTAAACCCTGTCCTTTTGCATCAGTAGGTATAAAATAACTATTTACAAGTCATTAAGGGAGTACAGAACCTTTTGGTCGCATCGAGCTTTGTGGTGGTTTGAATGAAAGTTCCTCATAGGCTTTGTATTTGAACAGTTTGTTTCTAGCTGGTGGTGCTGTTTCGGGAGGTTTGGGGTTGGGGTGGGGGTGGTCATGCTGGAGAAAGCAGATTCAGAGACTATGCGGCTTTCCCATTTTCAATCTGCTTCTCTCTGCTTCCAGTGCCTGTTTGAAGATGTGAGCACTTGGCTTTCTGCTCCAGCCACCTCCTGCCACCATGCCTCCCCCACACCATTATGGACTCTCCCTCTGGAACCAGAAGCCAAATATATGCTTCCTTCTATAAGTGGAAGTGGCCTTGGTCAGAGTGTTTTATCACAACAGAAAATGAACTAATACATAGTTCCTCCAGTCACTATAAACACAACAGAGGGTCCAAGATCTTACCTAGGGCATGGGCACCTGAGTTTTCTATAGGATGGCCCACACTACTGTGTCATGGATCACTCAGTAAGAACTACTTGGTTCCTAATATTTTGCTTGATAAGAACATCACAGTGAATAAGAGACATAATCCATGTCTTCACGAAGCCCCAAGCCAGTTTATATCCAACAATGCTTGTTTCTGTGTAAAATGAGGGTTGACTCAGATACAACTTATCCCAGGGAGACTGGTCAGTTTTCTGATGCTGCTAGATGAAAGAGGAGAGATCAAAGATGGACTGAGGAGGTGCACAGTTATCAACATAATGGTGCTCTGGGAAGAGATGTGAAGCTACTGTTTCCATGAGTTCAATAGAAGTTGAAGCAAGGAATGGAAATTACATGATATCATGGTATGCTGATGAGCTCAGGGCTCCATTATTGACCATTATCAGGTGTCAGGAACTGTGGACACTATATTCAATTGTTTTATCTGCAAAGGAGAGTCAGAATAATACCTAGACCTTCGCATTTGTTTGTTACCAGAATTAAATATGATAAGCCAAGAAAGTGCTTACCATAAAGTGTAGATAAGTTTGATTATTTTATGTTCCAGTAGGTCTCTTGACTGCAAAGGCCACTAGAAAAATAATCTACTGTCAAGAGGTCTTTGGAACGAACCATTAATTCTAAGAAACAAAAATAAAAGTCCAGCAAGCCTTTGGAACTGCTACTCAGAGACAATTTTTGCTGGAAGTATCTAAAATTAATGCTTCCCCAAGCCTCAATACTGGAAGAAATTCTCATTTCTTAAGTTTTATGCAAATAATGTTGACAATGGCAATTCAGGATGATCTGGCAAAGCTGGTCCTAGGAAGCAGTTTCAGTAATATTACAGAACCTTATGACCATCCCTCTGGTCCAATAGGTCACAAATTCCTGCACAACCAGAGGTCACTCAAAGTCATAAAGAAGTTAGTACTTATTAATATTTATTACCTTTCCAATCCTCACCCAAGGACTCTAACTTGACAACTCAAATATCCTATAAATTATTCAAAGAGGTGAAAACAGTTACTTAACATATAGTTTTACTCCTTTTTGTAATAAAGAGAAGGGAATCTAATGCAACTAGTTTGTAATTCCTTGGCAGACGATCCCACAGGACCTATACTTCAAGTCTGCTACCTGGCACCTTGGGGATGCTGCTTCTCAACTGAAGAAGCATCTTGAGTCCTTGGTGAGTTGAATACCCTGGGAATTAAACATGTTTAAACTGGATGTCATCATTGAGATCCACTTGTGGAGTTTCTAACTTGGCCCTGTAATGGTTTGCATCATGAATGTCCCTCACAGGCTCATGTATTTTCACCTGGTCTCCAGCTGGTGGTACTGTTTTAAGAAGTTATGGGGCCTGGCTGATGGGGATGGGTCACTAGGAGTGGGCCTTCTGGGGTGATGGCCTGGCCCTGATTCTGGCCAGATCTCTGCTTCCTGGTTGGTGCCATCTGAGAAACTACAACTGCAAGTGCCTGCAGCGAGATGTTGCCCAACCCAGCCACCATGCCTTCCCTGTAGTGATGAACTCTATTCCATGAAACATGAGTGTTCCTCCTTTAAGTCCCTTCTGTCAGGTGCTCTGCCACAGCAAGAACATAGCTAATACAGGCCTGTGTCCAGGAGACAGATCAAGGCACAGAAGCAAAACGACCAGAGAGAAAACACCCTCTAAATACCTAGAAACTATCCAAGGTCTGATGATATCAAAGGAAAAAAATAACTTTTCATAACAGCATACTAACTATATTTTAAGTATCAGTTATACAAATGACTTTGTCAAAACCTAATCAAACTTATAACTATGATAATTGTGCTCTGTAAATGACACCTCAATTTAAAATACCTCTACCTTCCAAAAAAAGCTCCTAGAACTTCCAAATCTAAATCAATTGCCATCTCACTTATTCTCTTGGGAAATTATTCAGTTATTTCAATGGTGTTGGTAACTTTCCAAATAATTTTAAATTTTTAAATAATTTTCTTATTGAATAAATAGATGTTTGTCAGATTACACACAGTAACCACCAGACATTTGTCCATCCATGATTCTGTCTTCGTTGAAATTTGTTTTTCCTATTTCAAAAGTGATGTATGATTATTGTAGAATATTTAGGAAAAATAAGTGGAAATTGTTTCCTAATCCTATGTAGAAATAACTTTAATATTTGAAAAAATATCTTTGTATTGAATGTAACTCTGTTCATATATATGTGTTCATAATTTTTTGACATTGTGATGTGTTTGTTTAGGGGTTTTTGAGACAAGGCCTCACTATGCAGTCCCACATTGGCCTTAAACACGTAATCTTCCTGCCTCAGACTCGCAAGCGCTATGATTACAGGCATGTGCTATCACCTCCAGTTCACATCTAGTTTTGTATGTCACCTTAACTGTTTTACCATCTCATTTGATAATTTCTAAAATACTAACATTAATGATGCTAAAGTATTATGCTGAAAGGATATCCCCAAATTAATTTTTCTAATATATTACTTTTTAGATTGCTTACAAGAAATCTTTGCATATTCCTGGGACAATTTCCTTGGAATAAATTCCTTTCAGCAGAATTATCCTGTCAGTATGTAAATAAAAATTAAGGCTTTTTGTTCATAATGCCAAACTACCCTCCAGAATGTTATACTGATTTACCAATTTTCACCCTACCTAACATTATAAAAATGACTATCGATAATGTTGAAAGTCCAATCCATACCACAGGGAAAGCAATTTGCCACCATTGACAATATTTGAAAGAATATAAAACAGCCAAATCTCCTGACTGTCATTTTCTGTGGCTTAATGAAATGGTACTTCTTGCTCCACTCTGAATTCTCATGCTTCATAGAGACCCTCTAAAGAGGTCGTAATATCTATTCTCCTAAGTATCCCATTAAACTTCATAGAGCAAACATTACATGGCTAGAGAGTCAACACAGCACTCTAATGATACAAAATACACTGCGAGAACAGGGTATTTGTATGGTAAGAGCCCACTCATCCAGGCTCGTTCTCCACACTTGTCATGCTCTGGTTAGGAATGCTGTGACCCTCTGAGGACAGTTTAGAAATCAAGTCTAGGAGACTTCCTGTCTACTTTGCTGGTTACACCCAGATCTGTTTGCTGGTTCCTTTGCAACTCCAACACTCTGGAGCTGTTATCTCTTCTATTTATAATTTTCTCATAATAATTTCACCAAGTCACATTAAAAAAAAAACTCTTCAGAACAGACCATACCTCTAAATTCCAACATCATCTTTCTAAGTGTCTGACAACTCCACTTGGATTTCTTACAGACATCACAAAATTGTATCAAAAATTAAGTGCTTACTCTCCCCCCAGTTCCTCTTGCCCAGCCTGCCCTATCATTGATGCCCAAGCCTGCTCTTTCACCAGGGTTCTCCATATCCATTGATGACAGCTTAATCACCCTATTGTTCAGAAAAAAAAACTGTTACAAATCACTGAGAGCATCCTGTATTTAACAAGTTAACAATTATCCTGAAAATATGTCTAGAATCATTACTTCATTTCATGTGGTTTCCTATATTAGTATCCTACACTAAATATCTCTGTTTCTATATTTGTCTGCCCACAGTACCTCTTCCAGTATAGCAACCTAACTAATGATGTTAAAATTTAAGTCAGAGCACTTGGAAGTCTGACAGTTGAATTGCCATGAATTTGGGGACAGCCTGAACTACTGTGTGAGTCAGGGTGGTAAAGTGTGACAAAGCTTGACCAGATACCAGCTTTTACTGGTCTGA